CCTTTACAGTCAAGGTCTTTGCACCTTTTCACCTTGACTCCACTACTCTCTGCAGCTCACATCCTCTCGTTCCTAAACCAGGGCGGTGGGCTACCCCAGCAGCTTCCCTGTCTCCATCTCCACAGCCCCTAGACCCCACCTCCACTTCTATCAGTGCCTTCAAACCCCCTACGTCAGCAATATCGCCACCCCCCTGCTCTAAACCCTTGCCACCGTCAAGGTAAAACCCAAACTCCCTGGTGGAGATCCAAAACTCTAGCTGGAATCACTATTCTCCAGGTTTTCCTAGGGCCATGGTAGTGCAGTGCTTAAAGCCCTAGCTGGTAACCTAGAGTTCCATGATATCAACCCACCAACTGCTTGAAGAGAAAAAGATAAGGCAGCCTACTTCCGTCAAGATTACAGCCTCAGAAGTCCATTTTCATTGTATACTGTTGAACCAGACTCAACGCTTAGCTGGTCAGGTTTTCAGCAGGTTTTCAGGGCAGTTAATTGCCTGGGAGGAGACTGTTCATCTTCCTCCTGTAAATGTGAACCGTGCGCCTTCAGGTGGGCAGTGCAGCTCCTTATCACTAGGCCGCCAGAGCTCCCTAGAAGCCCTAGAGTGTTGTCCAACTTTGCCCTCTAGGGTTGCAATAAGGTGTTGTTGATTGCCATCGAGGTGAGCATGACTCATAGCGAACCAATGAACAAAAGGTCTTAAGCTTTTCTATAACTATCGTCATTTCTCCAAGTTCACAGTTGCCAGAGGCAGGTGGTTTTGGAAGTGGATGCCATTCCTGCTTCCAAACCTGTCTTAAACTGGGAGCTCCACCAAACACTGCCCATGATGTGTATCCATTATGGTGTTTGGCACACCTACGCCACAGTTGTTCCATTACAGCATTTGAGATCTCAATGGCACAAGGGCCACAAGGTGTGGCACAGCAAACCCAGATTACCTCAGCACAGCAAACTGACAATAGTGCTATATGGCTTTGAAGAACATTCCTCCAAAATATAGTAACAAGGGATTAAAATATAATCCCTCAGGCCCAACTTTTAAATACAAGGGCCCTCCAGGAGGTCTTGTTGACTCTAGACAAGAGGCTTACATAAAAAATAACCAAATATTCCACACCGACCGTCAACCACAACAAGAGAGCCCACTTTATAGAGTCCAGATGCTTCACCCAGTCTTCTCAGGATCTACTAGGTAGCACAAAACAGTAACAGGGCCTCCCCTGCCTCCCGCCGCCCTACATTACATTAGTCATGCTCTGTTGTTCTCACTTCTTCTAGACCTGGAACTCCTGCCCCACTTTGCTAATCTGGCAAACATTTTCCATAATCCACCCTAATGTCACCTCCTCTAGGAATCCTTCCCTGAATACCTCATCCTCCAGACAGAATGGAGCACTCACCTCCACCACGTACTTCCAGAGTCCTTTATTAAAATACACCACAATCTCTCTGTAAGAAATCCACCTAATAATGTAATCACAAGATCAAACTTGTCCCATGTGAATCAGAGCAGAACTGTATTCCACAGAACTTTTAACAGCTGTAATATTTTTTTTTAATTTTTAGTATTTTGTGTGTGTGTACCGTCAAATCGGATCTGACTGGTACAGGAGGAGATTGCCCCTCCTTCTCCAGCAGAGCATCTGGTATATTTGAACCATGTACTTCTGGGATTGCAGTGCAGCTTCTTGTCAATAGGCCACCAGGGCTCCCTGACAGCTGTAATCTTACAAGAAAGCTCCAGGCTCTTCTTTCATGGGACCACTGGGTGGATTTGAACCAGCAACCTTTTGGTGAGTAGCTGAGTACAAACCATTTGCACAATCCAGGGATTCTCCAACTAGCCCAAGCATTTCAAAATCCACTCTGCTTGTTTAAGAGTCCCTCCAAATGGCCCATTTATTTTACCAAGTGCATCACTATTTTCCTTTGTTTCCAAGCCTGTCCCTCAAGGGCAGGGCCCCTGTGCTATCTCACTGGCCTCTGAAGTCTAGCCAAGTCACCGGGCAATCATTCAGCAAGTACTGAATGAACCCAAGGTGAAATCTCCTGTGTGGCCCTAATTCTCCCAGCATCCGAAGGCCACTGTCTGCAAAGGAAGCCGAGGCTGCTAGACTCTGCCATTCTGACGCGGCTCGTTGCCATCAAGTCGACTGTGACTCACAGTGACCCCGAATACAACAAAAGGAAATCCAGCCCAACACTGCCACATCTTCACAATCTCTGCTGTGCTTATGTTTATGGTTGGAGTCCCTGTGTCAATCCACCTCTTTTAAGAGTCTCCCTCTCCTTCGATGACCTTCTACTCTTCCCTGCTTAATGTCTTTTTCCAAGCACGAGTGCCTCCTAGTAACGTGTCCAAAGTCTGTGAGACGAAGACTCCCCGTCCTTGCTTCTAAGATGTACTCTAGCTGCACTTCTTTCAAGACAGACTTGTTTGTCCTTTTGGCAGTTCGTGCAACATTCAATACTCTTTGCCAGCATCACAATTCAAAATCATCCCTTCTTTTTCAGTTTATTAATTATTCAACTTTCACTATGCATATGAAACAATCAAAAGTACCACGGCTTGGGACAGGTGCACCTTAGCCTTTAAAGTGGCATCCCACCATGCTAGGGATGTTCTTGGGTGAAGGAGAAGTCTGTTTCTGCATCACTTCTACTCAAGGCTCTGGTACTGGACTGTTGGCATCACAGCCAGTATGTTCCCCTAGAAGCTCCTTTTCCAAGTTTTGCCAACTCCAGCTCCTTCTTTCCTGTCCAACAGGCAAAGCTTTAAGCTCTCCTATGGCCCTGCAGAATGTACTTAATTATCCACTACCACTTAGAACCTGCAGTCAGGAGGCCAGGAGACAAACTGCACTGAGAAAGTCTACAGTCACGGACCGCTCCAACTTACTGCAGAGCAATGATGTCAGTTTGAGAACTAAGGTGCGCCTGATTTGGACCATGGTCTTTTCAGCCACTTGCTATGCATCCGCAAGCTGGACAATGAATAAGGATGACATAAGAATTATTGAGGCATTTGAATTGTGGTGTTGGAGAAGAACACTGAATATTGAAAGGACTGCCAAAAGTACAAACAGATACATCTTAGAGAAGGCACAGCCAGAAGTGCTCCTTGGAGGCAAAGATGGCAAAGCTTTGTCTCACATACTTTGGGCAGGTTGCTAGGAGAGACTAGTCCTTGGAGAAGAACATCATGCTTGGGAAGGTATGGCAGTGAAGGAGAAGAAGACTATTAACTAGACGGATTAACACAGTGACTGCAGCAATGGGCTTGAGTGTGTGTCATAGGAGAGGGTTCAGATCCATTGTACATAGGGTCGCTATGAGTGGTACTTGACTTGACAGCACCTAGCAAGAACAAGCACCACCCAATTCGGAAGCTCTGATGGCCTAGTGGATAGGGTGTTGCACTGCCAACCCAAAGGTAGTTGATTCAAATCCACCAGGTGCTCCAAGGGAGAACGATGGGCAATCTCCTCCTGTGTGATTATACAGCCTGTGAGAACTCGCTGGAGGGTCAGTTAGAAGTCCATTCTCATTTGGCAGCAATGAGGTCGAGACTTTTTTTTGATCATGTAGTCAATTCCAATACAGAGTGACCCTTCAGAGTGGAGCCACTCACAGGGTTTTTGTTCCTGAGGTAAATCGACGCAGACACAGAAATGTACTCTTTCTCCAGGGGAGTAGATGGTGGTTTCCAAACAGGTGACATTTTTATTAGCTTTAACCACTGCACCATCCAAATTGCAATGATTCTAACTGGAAGCCGGCAGCAAACGGGAAGGAAGAGAGGAGATGACGCTTCAAATTGGCTTCAACTCCAGACCTTCAAGTTCAAACACCAGAAGGGCCCAGGCAAGCAACACAAACACATGATCAAGTGGCACATGGCAAGTGTCCATTTTTGGCTTGTAGCAACCCATGGTGGCTTAGTGGTAAGAAGCTGTACTGTCAACTCAAAGGCACACAGTCTTAATCCACCAGCTGCTCAATGAGGGAACAAGGGCAATCAGCTCCTGTGTGATTTATTGCCTCTGAAAACACCCTGGGGTCAGCTCAGGGTTGGTTCCGACTCGAAGGAACCTAACAACAATACTGGGTGGTGCAACTGGGGTGCTGCTTGGAAGCATGCAGGGCGAGACTTTGTCTCATACACTCTGTGCTTCTGGTGAGGAGGGACCAGTCCTTGGAAAAAGACATCACGCTGGCCAAGTAGAGAGGGTCAGTGAAAGAAAGGAAGCCCCTCAGGGAAGTGGATTGACACAGCGACGGCAACGAAGGATTTGAGCGTGGTGGAGATTGTGCTGACAGCATAGGATCAGGTCTGCTGCTCAGAGTCTCCTTGAATCGTACCAACTTCATGACACCTGACACAGCAAATGTTTACAGGGCACCGATCACCATGTCTTTCGCCCACACAGCTGTTGGGTAGGTTCAAACCGCTAACTTCTCAGTTTGCATCCAATCACTTAACCATCGTGCCACCAGGACTCGTTCAGAACTCCAAGAGAGGACGACTGGGGATCCCTTCACCTCGAGGCCTTTGGCCACGAAGAAGCGAGGTCCCGTGTGGCCATATGTCTAAACTTTTCATGAAAAGCTTGACATTTGCATTTTAATACAAAATTTCTGGCACAGGTTTTTGGTGGTATGTTGGTTTTTTGTTTTACAATTACAATATCCATTGAAAGCAACCCCATTTATTAGAGTTCAGACTCGGCTGAAGGCTGGCTGTTTGTGACCTTTGCTTTGTTTAACGGCTCAAGTGATTCCAAAACGAAAGTATATATATTTAGTCTTAGGCAGGTGAGTGCACAGATACATGGAGAACAGTGGGCATCCAAGGGCAGAACTCAAACCTGGAATTCAGCTAGAATGTGCTAGTGGGGGTGAGAATAACTTGGAGGTCTGAGGACCCAGGAGGGTGAAGGAGACGCCAAAGGCAGGGAGCTCTTCTCAGCCAGTCCAGAAACTAGGCAAAGACTCACCTGTCCGCAGATCCGTCTCCAGCAAGGCCTGGAACACGCTGGGGTGCCTGTCTTTCAGCTCCTTCTCCCCTGGAAAGGCTCTGCATGTGGAGGGTCTACCGTACCTGTGCGTCAGGTCCAGGTAGGAGTTCTGGAGGCCACCTACACAGAAAGGGAAGCACAGGACACCATACTCTTTGTCATTGTTATTAACTGCCACCAAGCTAGCCCCATGTATAACAGAAACCAATGCAACTTGGTCCTGTGCAACCCCCACATTCAACTGAAGAGAGACCTTTGCAATTCATGTGATTTTCACTGTTGTATCTAGAAGTAGATTACCAGGCCTTTCTTCCTCTTCTCAATCTGGAAGCTTCACTGAAACCTGTTTATCATCATGTTGTTTTTGTTATGTGCTGTCGAGTCACTTGCGACTCACAGAGATCCTATGTACAATAACCCTAAACCCAGCTGTGTCTGTGCCAATCTCACTGTCTCCAACACACCCATCCAGATTACCCCAGTCACTGAATCAATCCACCTCATGGAGGGTCTTTCCCTCCTGCGCTCAGAATCCTTGCCTCCAAGGAACAGCCTGGTTTAATCCTCTCCAGGATGAATCTGTTTGTTTTCTTAGCAGTCCATGGTATACTCAATACACGTCTCCAGCACCACAGCTCAAAGGCGTCAATTCTCCTTCTATCCTCCCTAGTCATTGTCCAACTCTCTGATGCATAGAAAGTGATTGCAAAGAACATGGTCTGTATCAGACGCACCTTAGTCTCCAGAGTAACACCACTGCTCTTCAGTACTTTGGAGAGGTCCTTAACAGCAGACTTTCCCATCGCAATACGCCTTTTAATTTCCTGGCTACTGGTGCCAAGAGTGTTGACTGTGGAGCCAAGCAAACTAAAGCTGTGTATAATCTCAATCTCTTCACCATCCATCCTGATGCTGACAATTGGTCCTATGTTTATCATCATAGCATCACAAAAGCCTCTGCTGACAGATGCATGGTGACCACACACTAAATGCACTGGCTAGAATCAAACCTGGGTCTTCTGCATGAAAGGTGAGAATGCCTTTTGTTGCTAGCAGAAAGAGCTGGCATTTACATTCACCCAAGGGCACTGCAGAAGAAAGTCCTGGCAATCGGCTTCCAAAAAAATTCAGCCATTGGGAATCCTATGGAGTATAGTTCTATTTGACATGAGGTCACTGTGACTTGGGGCTGACTCAGTTACTGGGTTTATAACATGTTAAGAGAATGACACACAATGAAATACTACACTGCACTGAAAAACAAAGAACTCATGAAATATTACACCAAATGAGTGACCATAAAGGGCATTATGCTGAGTGAAATATCTCAGTCACAAAAGGACAAATACTGCATAGTGCCACTGTTGTAAAATGGGACTGACATTGGGGTTGGGGGGAGACTGAGAAAGATGGG